AAAAAAAAAAAAAAAAAATGCTTCTGATAAACCTTACCTACCCTAGATTTTAATATCAGTGACTTTGTGTTCATAAGATTCTTTCCGAGACGAACGTACAATATAATGGAGGCAAATAAACCAAAACTAAGTCCTTTGAATAAGAAATGTACCCTATAGAAAGAGAAATCAACAAACCCTAAACATTTAAATAAAGGACAAGGCTGGCGGTATTCTGTAGATGTTAAAAAATGCTTTAATCTGTATCTAAATACTTTGAGAATTCCCAATCCTGACTTCACATTTGTTGGAGACTACTTTTAGCTTTAACTTTTAACTACAGTGCCCAGATTTTGGACTACAATGGAGCTGTATGGCACAGAGGAAGAGGCTGTAACAGGGGAGACATCATGGGATTTGTGGACAAGAAGAAAAATACATCACTAGACTTACTCATTAAGCTTCAAAAAGGTAGGATTTATTGCAAGGCTACTGTATTGATAGCATTATATTCTGAAAATATCAGCTCATCAAATAATTCTCTTATCTTCCAAGGACTCTCCCATATAGGTATACATGTTTATTATCCTTGAAGCAAAGTACCGTTTTTGATAGGTTTAAATAACTGACAGTGATCTGACATGAGTGTATGTACCTTCATGACATAATCCTCTCCAGTCAGGTTAAACGTCTTCCCTCCAACGTTGAAGGAGATGACAGGCAGAGATGGGATCTTCTTACAGTCGATCAAGTACTAGCAAGGAGGCAGAGGGGAGAAGAGAATGCGGAAATGATTCCTCAAGACTAAAAAAGACAAAGTGAGCCTTGTTGTTCCGTGAGTCATCAACCCACAGCAGTGTCAAAATGTGGCTTTTGCAACCCTCAACCACAAAAGGTCAGTTTCTCCAGTAGGAAGGTTTAAAGGTTACATCTGGTCACTCGGTATAATGTCTTAACAGGCATCAAATGTCAGGTTAGCATTAGTTTCACATGTTCAGTTGTACCTCTCCCATCAGCAGGGGCAGAGCTCCGATGGCTTTGTGCAGCGCTCTGATTTCCTCTGCAGGGCCGACAATTAGGGATGTTCCCGTGTCGACAATAGCCTGGCAACCGGCTTTGCAAAGAGTCAGCTGGTTGCCGACTTCAACTCTGTGGGGCAGGATAGAGAGGGAGCAGCAGGGCGGGGCAGAGAGACAAGAGGCATCCGTTTATTTCCAACACTTTTAGAAATGTGTCGTCATGTTATTGTAACGCAGCTTTTAAAAACAAAGAACACGTATGCACAACTTTCAGATTTTAAACTATCCAAAAACCCGATATTAAATTTAAGTTTTCAAGCATGCACCTGCTTCGTGAGAATACCATTTTCAGTTACCAGGTAAAGGAGTACCAGAAGTGAGAACTGTGTCCATTAAAAACACAGAACAGAGTACACACACACACACACACACTACAGTTTCCAGTGTTAAAGCCTGAAAAGTTTCTTCCTCACCCGTCGACCTTGATCTGCCAGTAGGCCTTTCGTGTGACATTGACATAGTGCAAGTCTCCGGTGTAGTACTGGGGGTCTGTCCCACCCAGTATCAGCTCTCCTCCCACTGCTGCTTTGGGGTCTCTAAGAGACAGAGTGGACAGAAGCAGAACTCACTGCGTTAACTAAAAGCAAAATGTACCAACTCCAATTAACAGCTGGCAGTGGTTTCGGTCTAGCAGAGGTAAAACAAAACAAGATTAAGACCAATACAAAAGGCAGCGATTCTAGAGCTGGCTGATTAGAATATTATTTATATTATTTATGCCCGTTCTACCTCACTTCTTCTGTCAGAAACCAACCTGCTTATGTAGAAAGAGAAAATGTTCTGGGGCAGCAGTTTGGCTGCCATGGCCGTGTCAAACACCGGGACGACATTAGCTACCGAGATAGAGGGGTAGGCCATGCCCAGGACCCCATCGAACCGCGCCACTGCGAATGTGATTCCGGGCTGCGTCACTGCTTCAGCAAACTGCTGGCCAGGAACGGGCAGACCTGCAACCTGCAAGCAGAGGCACAGGAAGCAGAGAGAGAGAAAGAGAGACGTCGATACGGATAGAAAACACAAGACTTGTAATGAAATGATAGGAACGGCATGACCGCCAAAATTGAGGAATGCTGTTCAACAAAAGGACTATGTGAGTGGGTGACTCACAGAGACCGTGTCCCCGCTGATGAAGCCGGTCAAGCTGCCTCTGCCGTAGCGGATGGAGAACTTGGTGCCGTTCTGAACGTATGTGCTCGACTTCTTTGAGTTGTAGCGATGATGAAGCCCTGGTGAAAGACGACAACAACGTATGGATTTCATGGACTTCAGAAACAAGATGTTAGTGATAATACACCAGTTTAAAATGGAGTCAGAGGACTGGCACACCACCACAAAGATATGCAAGACAATTACAAAGACATTGTTTTGTGTTTTTCAGTCTGGGGGTCTTGCTCCCATGTAGGAGGGGTTCCGGTACCAATTGTCTCACTTTTGAGTTACAAATAGCAGATATGAGTTGACATTATTTTGTATTACAATATTTAAAGCTATTTGACTAAATAAACATAAGGATTATTAATGTACAGTTTATTACGTCCAAGAGCCAGGGCTTTACATTTGAATCTAAACACGTTTGGTTATTGGGATTGTTTGAATCTGTGCCCCACCCTGTCTCCGCATTTCAGACATTTCTAAACCTGCTGTGTCACAGAGCTTATTGGAAGTTTTCAAGAATTATACAGACAGCAAATCATTTTAATCTTCCACTTGACAGCTCGACTTTAACAGTCTTAAAATACTGTTCAGCCTCTAAATGCAATTGGGGTCAAGGTTTGGTTTTCTGTCCCTATACAACACTCCATTGTGTAACTTTTGATCTTCTGTCTGACTGACTTCACTTAACCAAACAGTCATCAAGTCAAACCAGTCCTAACACACAGCCAAAGGTACGCATGCATACTTCAGCTAAAAAGCAAACTGTAAAAAAAAATAAAAAATTAAAAAAAAAAGAACGAGGAAGGGGGAGAAGTGTGATATTTTAGTCACAACCGTTCCAGGAAGTAGCCAACAGATACACATATAGCACAGAGGATGTCGAGTGAATACGCTTTCCCGAAAAGCGAACTCACAGCAGGCCAGGTCGAAGAAAGAGCAGCGAATGGAGGGGACCCAGAGGTTGGAGGAGCCGGTGTCAAACAGCACGGTGAAGTCCTGTGGAGGGGTGCCGATGCTGATCGCCCCATAGTACTGGGCCTGGGGAGACAGGACGCTAACAGTAAACACGGAGATCTGCTGGGAAACTACATGTGCATCAGAAGAAAGATTAAACATTAATAGTCAGCATTTGAGTCAGAGCTTAAGCAGGAATGCACCAGAACCAATAACACAAAACATCTTGATGTGTAAAAAGGGCTTATTGATAGAGTAAATGCAGAGTAAACTGCTCAACTCGTGATATCTTGGGTTCCTCAGTCTAATATTTACTCAATCATTCCTCTTTTTTTCCCCCCCTCACTGGCAATGCTGCACAAATACTGAACATTTTGTCCCACAGTGCATTGTGTGCTCCTGGATAAAGCTGAACAACTTAAGAGAATGGAGGTGGAGTTATTAGAAGCTGCCTCCCTCCAATAAGACTGCAGCAGAATGAGTCCCCTCACTGTGTGGCCCTCACACTATGGAGTCGAGACCAATACAAGTGTACAGTATGTGCACATACATCCATGAAGTTGGTGAGCCTCTCCACAGGCAGGTCGGGGGAGGGGGAGCTGTCCGGAGCTCCTGAGCTTCTGGCCAGAGCCCGAAGCTCCTCCAGAGACATCCCATTGTCGCTCATCAGGCGGCGCAGGCTCCTGGTTTTATGAAGGGGAACTCTGAAAGAAGAGATTGATGAATTGAATGTCACAGGCGCGAAACGACACGCTTCCTGGTACAGGTCGCATCCACTTTAACAGCAACTTTAACTGCACCGTTGTCAGTGAGTGACTTCTCCTTCATTCAAAAGCCAAAACAAACACGTGTGAAGAATTACGACTGTACCAGAGAAGGAAGTTAAAACACACGCACACACGCGCACACACGCGCACACAACCACTTTCACCTGCACTCAATAAAGCCTAATGTAACTCGTCCGCCGCTATGAAGTGATGCACTTAGGCTGTGATGTTATCTAACTCTAGTCCCTCATACACAGTGTTTACCTGATGATGGCGGCGCATTGTGTTACCAACAGCGCCCCGACGATATAAAACACCTCCGGCCGTGTCATTTCTGTCCTCGTTGAAATAAAACACACTTTTCTGTAATGTTTCCGCTTCTTACTAGCGCTCGCACTCACACCACTAGCACAACTGACGCAGACAGCTAAATTGAAGCGCTTCGGCGATGTCCGCCTTTACTCGGTTTTCTCCGTTTTGTGGCTCAGCGATTGGAGGGAGATAATCAGTGCGGTGTTCTGATTGGCCGGGAGAGGACGTCCGTCATCCTGCGTTATGAACCGGCGCATTTGGTGTGTTAGCGGTCACGAGTTGTGATGAGGCTGTGAAAGGAGTGATAAGGCATAATACTGTTTCAAAGTCCAACTGAGAAAACGTTTCATATAAAAGAAAAACATTCTTCAACATCAGGTTGTTAAATACCTTTCCCCAGAGAGTCTGTAAACCTAACAATGCTGACCAAAGCTTACTGATAACTAAGTTCAATTACCATGGAAACACCTCTGCTTGTCTAATCAAATCTTGCACTTTGTTTAAAGAAAAGCTTGCATTTGGGGGTATTAAGCTACAGCAGGGGTTTAGGATGGCATATCCGTTATATTGGGTCTGGGAAAATAGATTATAAAAATAGTGATTAACACTTTTAGTATTTAATGTATCTGGGGCCTACATGCAACCTCATCTTTTGTTAGACCGTCCCTGTCTAATAGATGTCCATCAAACGCCATGTCCCTGGTTTGTACTGGGCTTTCTGTTAAAGGGGCACTCCACTGATTTTACACATTAAGTTCATTCTTCTGTATCTGTGGAAGCAGCTTTCAAAAGTCTAAGAATATGTTTAGCTGGGGCTCGGAGACTACACATTTATAGCAGCAACCCTGCATTGCAAACTGTGGGTTTCAAATGAGAAAGACATTTACCAACCAGAGAAGATCTAATAAGCTGAGCTTGAGCACATACCAGGGAACTAAAACTAAGGACATGTCTGCCATTTTCTCTTCAGTTCTGAACAGTTAGTAAATCTGTCTCTTGGAAGTCCCCCAATAGGAGAGTTATCCCGGCTGAGAAAGTATGACATAGCCTTTTTATTTTTTCAGACATAAGCAAGTTCCTCCAGGGGGCGTCCTGCTGCCTTTGGCTTTAAGATGAAGCAACTGTCCTGTTTTTTGTTTTACCTTTATTTTGATTTTGAGTGCATTGGCGAGAGGAGACAGGGGATGAGGGAAAAGAGAGAAAGTATGAAATGCGTGGGGTGGAAAATGATGGAGAGGATGGGGGGAGGGAGGAAAGGGAGGGAGTGGAGAGGGGTTGAGGGGGAAGAGGGCAGATGAGGGGCGTGGTGTTAAAGTCCAGCTCCAAGGGCAGACTGCAGCGTATCATTCGATCTGCTGAGAAGGTGATTGGCTGCAATCTGCCATCCCTCCAGGACCTGTACGCCTCTAGGACCCTGAGGCGTGCAGGCAAGATTGTGGCTGACCCCTCCCACCCCGGTCACAAACTCTTTGAGATACTTCCCTCATTTCTTCCCATCTGCAGCTGGCCT